AATATTATACGGAGATCATTGTTTTGGAAAGTTTTGCTTTTACAAAACACTTTAAGTTATGGATCTTACTCGCATTGCTATCGCTTACCATAGTCGGAATACTGTGATATACATTAAAAAGAATATATAAACGCACACCGTACGCATCAATCATGCCACCAACTTTTCTCTCTGCACAGCTAATGCTACTAAGCTCACTGCATAACATTTTTCTCCTCCACTTATAATGCTTTTCGTTTTTACATAACATTTTCCAAGAAATTTTCACAAATCCAGAAAAAATTTCAATCAAAAGAAGCGAAAACAATTTTCTTACATAGCCGCTGTTTGCAACTGCATTCACTTTGCTTGCCGTCATATCCGAGAGGTATTTGACCTGAAAGCGGCTCAGACGGCTGATGCCAGTATCAACGACAAATACGCTCATTGGGGCATATGGATTTTTGCCCAACAGCGCTGGAAGCAAAACGCCATCCGAATCGTGGACCAAACCCAGCTGCTTATCTTTGCTCCACAAAAATCCCATCGGCAAACCTTTTTCCCATTTCACGTCCACTCCAATCTGCAATTGCCAATCACTAAATAGTGACAGTAAGTCGGGGGCAGAGGGAAAAAACCTCATATTTTCATTTTTATAGAAACAAAACTGATATTATTTCAACGAGCATGACGCGTACGTCAGCATCACCAGAATATTGATCAGACCAATTTGAAAAGTTGCCAGTTGCACAGCTAGAGAACCCGATTAAGAAACAGATCCAAGCAAGGAGATGAGAGGTATTTTGGAACTGGCTGAATAAACGGAATTTCATCAACCGCAGATGTCTGTCGGCAATGATTGCTTTTTTCATCGGCTAGGAAAAAATGCAAGGATTTGGTTTGATATGTATTGCAGGCAGCCCAGTATCAACTTGCTGCCGGAAAAAATCGCAGTCAGGTTTGTTTTCCATCAAAAAATTCCGACCAACTTCGTCCTTCCGGCTCGAACTCTGAGAAATTCGGCGATCTTGCGAATTTCCAGCCAACTAGACGCCGCTCAGCTCCCAATCCCCCCTTCTTCCTGTCGCCCCTGCGTGCAAACTCAGGATGGAGATTATGATGCTGGGCAAAAAAACATGTAGCCCCTAGTCCACACTGTTCATCTGCAATTTTTTTAAGACCCACTTCACAGTCTCTGTGCATTTGGCCCCT